CTTGACAAGATATTTGCACCTTACATGCATGGAAATAAGCCATGCTAACTTCTCAGTTCTCCCATATCTTTTCCGCAACCCCATACATATATTAAGTCATTTGCCTTCTCATCACTATGGCGAGGTATATGTAACTTTAATGCTTTCTTGTTACTGAACCGAACGCTAAAGCATGACCATACTGTGCATGGGGGCTAGGAGGCAATTGTTCCTTAGGAAGATTTGACATTTAGTTCGTCTGAAATATCTGGAATAATTAGGTGTCTAAGACTATCCTTCTAATACTGCTACACATTTATTACAATTATTTTATGGAGCACAATGAAGTAATGCTGCCTGAAAAACTGCCTCTTGATGCATTGTCACAAATCGATTACGGACACACTAGACATTGTGAAGATTGCTTGTGCCAACAAACAACACAGAGGGCATTTTAGAAAATTTGAGTAGGGGTATGCGTATGGCTGAGTGGAAGATGAGACCCCCCCTCCCCCTCACGCCACGTTTCAAAACGCTCGGCCGCCTCTGGCTCACCAGTAATTCTTCTATAAAGTAAGAAAAAAAAAAATTGGTTCTCAGATTTCAATAACAACAAGGACCACACAAACAGAGGGTGGTCTGCCTGTGCACTGACATTAATTTGCTTTTTTATTTCTTGCTTACCATAAATGTATATTCATATACTATACATATAGCCTCACATGGTTTGTTAACTTTATATATTACATTATTATGTTAATTTCTGTGTAAGTTTCGATACTGCGCAGCTATGTCTACACCAGTTGAATGATTTTATCCCTATTCCAACCTCTCAACCCCCCTCTTGCCTCTTTAATTGGGTTTACAGTCATCCCCTATCACCCTCAAAGGGTGGGGAAATGAAGCCTCTACATTTTTTAAGAATGCAATAATGGAAGTACTTGTTTGAAGACAAACATATTCATCATATTTGTAAGCGACCTTTTTGTAAAAAGTATATGTTGGAAAAAGATGTGTTGCAATGTTGATTATGTGTATGCATCCGGTGTTAATCAAGCATAGACATGTAAATACTTTTTCATTTAGTTACTCGGTAGTCGAATATACTTTGCAAATCATAATTTGAACTTTGAAGCATGGTTGAGCCAAAGTTCAGAAAGGCTCAAAGAAGTGCTGCAAATATCTGCAGAAGTCATAATATATTATCTGAGTTAAGGGGGCAGTCTGGGTGTTATTGTTATTGTTTTTTAGTTTTTTTGTTTTTTGTTTTTTTTTGAGGAGGGGGGAGGAAATGTTGATTTGGGAAGGAAATAAATGAGGGTAGAAAAGTTATATACATTTACCAGCTAATCCACTAAGGAGTTCAGGGACTTAGAGGCATCTTGTTGTAGTGGTGGACTATCCGGTATTTGTCTACTAATTATTCACTTCATATTTTAATTTTTAAATCCAACATTGTCCAATTTTCCAAATTTTTAAACAACCCGCCCCGCCTTATTGTTATACATATAACTACATTCGAAAAATCACTCAAAGATTCTCCAAAGTTCATTGAACTAACTACTCGAAAACAGTTGAGTCTTTTTTCGATTGAATGAAATGTTGTCAAGATACTTAAGAAAAAGGGCGGAAATAAACGAAAAACAGTGCTTTTAATCAGACACACCCCCCCCTTCTCTCCCGCCCCATCAAGTTCAAACTACCTGCACGCATGATCTAAGTCAAAGCCCAATGTTAAGCCCGCGAAAGGCTTAAAAATCGAAGGAAAAGCACATAAGTAAGTCCTGCGCAAGAGAAAACTCGTTTCTCCGAACCTGCCCCGGGCCTTTTTACGGTCAAGTGGCCCAAAAGTCATGAGAGATGAGAGATGAGAGATGAGAGATGAACTGATGCAGCTGTGTACTAGAACTGGTTGGCATTCGAGTTGGCATTGATTAAGTTTTTTTCTTTATCCTTTTCAGTCTCCATCTCACTAATTCTGCCGTTTTTCTCAAGTGTCCGTTTAAGAGCGGAATCTTTCTGTCCCCACTTTTTTTTCCATTTATCTAAGGTTCTTCCAACATCAGTGCTTCTTCGTACATTTCTTCCAGAAATTTTTCATTGCTCTTTTTCTGTTTTACAAAGCATTGGTAGCAAATTATGTGTCCACTCAGGTGCATCACAAGTAGAATGATGGCATGAAGAGCAAACGCGATCCCAACAAACTCTACATTAGAAGGAACATTCTTCCATGGATTCGGCCCAAAAAGGACAAATCCGATTTGGAAAAACCAACTGCCTTGTAAGCTTAACAAATAAGCTTTTAAGAAACCGGTAATTTGGAAGAATTGATCAGAAATAGCCGCCAAGAAAAATACAGCACCTGACACGAAAATAAGAATGTAGAGTATTGTGTGCAGGCGAACATTGAGCTCGTCTCGTCCGTGCAGATGGAAGAAAAACAAAAGTCCTTCCATCCAAAAGGCCATCGAGAAGACCAGGTAGTCAAACTTTGGTGGAAGAGGCAGTAATTTGTACACCATTACAAGGTCAACGACGCCAGTCAGACCAAAGAAGGAGTACATAGCGGTGTGCGCATAATTATCCACATGACTGGGTACAAATTCTCCCTTCTCGTCAAATAAGGCTGTTGCTTTGGAGGCTGGAAGCTCGGCTATTACACCAAGGATGGCGAAAACTACTTTTATTACAGGCTCCACGGGGAATTTTGAAAGTTTCCCATGCCCGAGACATGGATACCATAACGGATGGATCAGTTTTGACTGACGTTTCCCAGGTTCAGGTTTTGCTCGAGCAGCGATGCCATTTCCTAAGCGGTCCTGCAAGACTTCACCGATAAACCACCACACGGATAAAATTATGAACATTGATCCGGGAACGACATGACCTTCTAAGGATCCCATTGTCGTTTGAACAAAGTTTTTCCCACAACACTTGCCACGTTGACACACTGCGCTGTCGTGTGTTTACATGTATTTTAATAAGAGGTGTAAACGTGCAATTTGTCATGTTCGCTCTGCGGGGTGTATGTTATCCAAAATGAGGTAGGGGTGGGGTCGCTTTGTTGAATTCTGGTGTATTCGATGATGAATATAAAAATAATAGCACAGCGGTTGTTTCAATTCGCGAATTGCAAAAAGGAAAAAAAAAAAAGGACAAAAATGCGTTAGACTTTAAAATTCCCTTTTATATGTTGTGATTTACTTTTATCCTTGGTTTAAATTTGATTTCCCTTTGTTTTTAACTCATTATAATACATTAACATACCCTGAAACAAAGGTAAATAAATTTTAAGCCAAGGATAAAATTGAAGTACAACATGTACATGAATATTGAAGTTTCGTGTCTTTTTTTCTGGCGACGGTACTCGATCCCTCTGATAGTCCTTTATTGGCGATAAGAACTGCCAACAGTATATCTCATACTAACATCTAATCTTTGCCAGAAGCGCGTCCTGTCTTTGTGGAAAGTTTCCCATGGCTACACATCAAGCTTAAATAAATGAGACGTCCGGCTAAGCAATGGGATTGGATCATTAAACGCAGCATTATATTTGTATAAAAAACGCAACCCGTTGAAGAAAAAATGAAAGAAAAGAATTCGAAAAGCCTACAGAAAAAGAAAAAAAAACACTGTCGGTGAGCTCAGCACAGCTAATATCATTCGCCATTTTGAATGCTACTTTGTATTGAAACAGTGCAGGTGGGAATGAAGCGTTCACAGTAAATAAATATTGACTTGAATTTATAAGTAAAGAAAGCAGAGATAGCACGATGCTCTAGTGATATATTAAAACTGCCGGAAAATATTTTTTGAATTTATTCTGAGGCCTTGTCTAAGAGATATCCTAGCTTAGGAGTATTGAGTTAAAATATTGTGTTTAACCGTCTAGTACAGTGTTAATTACGTGTAAATGTATATGGCATGACTTATTCATTATCTATGCAGTTTATATTGCCAGTTCGTGGTGATTATCGAGTCCTAGGTTAGACTCAAGGTTAGACTGCAAAACAACAGCTCTTTTTTCGAAGGTTAAGCTAACGGGAGTAGTCAAACAAAAGTAGTGGAGCGAGGGAGTAAAAAGAAAGTGCGAGACTAGGGAGAGGAGACGCGAAGGTCTTGCGCATAGAGTCCACCATTCAACGTTACGAAAAGACTGCATTGAAAATCTTGAAAAGACTGTTTCCTTAACGAAAAACAAAGCATAATTATATGGCCGCTCTCGATGACCCAGCAAAGTCCCTTATCCTCCATCCGTCTTTTCTTGATGTTAGTGATCTTATGTAACAGGATGGCAGAAAGAAGAGCGTTAATTTGTGCAACAAACCTATCAGGGCTATTACTTGCGAGTTTTGTCATGATCTTCACTTAGCAATACTGTGTTCTGTTTTAAGTTTATTATTTTGCCTTAAATTATACAAAAAAGAAATGTCTGAATGTTAACAGCTCATAACGAGGAAGTCCAAGGGAAACCACCGGGCTTGTAAGGAATAGGCTCCCTCGATTAATTATTACAAAGAAGTATAAACAGCCGTAAATAACCTAATAAACGCCCACTTGCAAATAAACGCCTCTTATCTAATAAACGCCCCCTCTACGCTGTTAAAATTTTAATAGACGCCCCTCTCTAATACACGCCCCCTGTCTAATGGCCGCCCGCTCTAAGAAGTAGTCCAAAATACTAGGAATTAGCAAACAGGAGCGAAATCATTCTATTCATTCAGTTTCTTGTCGTATTTCATCTTGTTGGATGTCAAGTTTAAAGTAAGGAGAGACTAACGATGGCAACACGATAACAATCAGCGAGGATTGTGACATCAATGTTGGGATTTCAAAGAGCGATATGGATCTCTGGACGGCCTAGACGTATCAATTGATGGAGTAGATATTCCGCTATTTTTAAACTCTCTTGGTATTTTCAACGAAAGCATATTAGTTTTGTTAAGATTATAGCAGTAATGAGAATAAACGCCTCTCTCTTTTAAACGCCTCCTATCTATTAAACACCCCTGCTTGGACCCCTAAAATTAAATAGATCCCCCAGGCGTTCATTAGCCGGGTCATTCACGGTATGCATGAAGAGTTACAGTAAATATTATAATAAAATTATTAGATAAATGTATTAATCAGAGTTAGGTTAAAAAAAGGAAAGCGAAAGGGAAAAAATGAAAATGAAAAGTAAAGGTAAAGAAAAAAAATAAACGAATATTTTATGATAAGGGGAATACTTTCATTACAGTAAAAGGAAGCGACACTTGTCGCATTCTCAATTTCAAAACAAAGAGGGTAAACGAATTTAGGCCCTCGGAAACTAATAGAGAACTTTCTTAAAAAAGTCTTTTGCAAAAAGGTCTATTTAAAAGAACGTAAAGTTTGGCGGAAAATTTTCTCCAACAAAATTACTATCACGTCTGTCACACCAGGTTTGCCGTCTTTTTCCCTTTGCCGTCCTTTATTAGTTCCCCGAATGTTGTTTCTTTTCCACATACATGATGTAAATGCAATTTTCACTTACCAAGAAAACAAGAGCAAGATTTACCAGTCCCCTAAATCGATCTAAGGTTTCAGATGGGCTTATAATAGAATCTTGAGCTTTGTGTACCCTGTAATCGCGAAAAAACAAGGAAACAAACAAAAACAAAACAAAATCAGTGAATTTTTCATCAACATCTACGCAGGCCTCCAGTTGTAGATAGATCACCAGGTACAATTTTTTCTTTGCCTGATATACTTACGTATCATTTATACCCAGTTTTTCTCGTTCAAAACGGGGTAATTCCCTCAATGGAGGAATCGTGAGCATGACACAAATAATTTACATATCTCCTCGCGAAAGATCAAGACAAAAATTTCACCGAATTTAATGGTTATAAATTGTGATGTCACAAAACGTTCATTAAGCACGCGCGCGGCGAGTTCGTGCATCTTTTTTTTTTATATTCGACCAGAAGCCGTAATCAGCTCCTGATTCGACAAACTTTTTCTCGTTGGGGAGGAGAGGTTGAAATGTGAAGATTTTGTCGTTTCAGTTTTTAGTTTTTATATTGTCCAAAGACTTGAGTTATAAATGCGGGCCGCAAAAATAATTCAATATTGTAGTAGGTAATTGACAATAGAAAAACACAGAAATCATCGTGTGTGGTTTCTGGGCTCTTACGGACCTTACAAGTTTAATGACGTGATACTAGTGCGTTTGGCAGGTTGCTTGGACGGCTGGCCGGTGAAAAACGTCCAGGGGTTTCTCATAGTGACTTAGTGGCGTCAATGTAATAGAGTACTGAAGTGTGACGTCATAAAAAAACTAAAAATTAAAATTATGAGATTTGTCAAGATATCCTGAAAGACCAACGTCCAAGACGCCTACTTGCCAAAAATTAGCATTTCGGGGCAAATTGTCTCTAAGATATTAACCCCGTTATCCTCTGAAGACTCCATACAAATCCTTCTAAATTTGACTTGGTCCTTGACTTGGGTCTAAACGTGTAGACCCAAGTTAAATTTAGAAGGATTTGTACCAGTTCTTGGACTATAAAGTGCCAACCTCTTTTAAGCCACGTGCAAACGGACGCAACAACTCCCAACATTGTTGCCCAAAGTTTGACCGGTTTCAACTTTGCGCAGCAACTCCCAAGAACACGGAACAACATGTAAGAGGGTGTGCAAATGGACGCAACATGTAACATCCAACAATGTTGCGTCCGTTTGCACGGAACTTAGCTTTAACATGTGTTTTGGCGGATTTTTTATTAGCTGATGCAGGGGCGGATCTAGGGGGAGGGTGCAGGGGGTGCGCACCCCTCCCTGAGATGACCTGCGGTTTTCTAATACAACTAGTATTCTGCCAAAAAAAAAAAAACTATGTGGTTTATTGGTTTTGAAGTAGAGCAAGAGACGAGTGCACCCCCTCCTAAAAAAAATCTCGGACCCGCCCCTGTGATGAAAAACTGGTGTTTTTTTTTTAGCGCTGTAACTGCTGCATCAAGAGTGGTAAATCGTGCAATAAAATGGCCACGATAACTTTAAGTTAAAATCGCACTCAGAAATGGCCGTTTCACCATGATTTAATGATCATGGAAAACGTTATATAAAAACAAAACAA